TCCGTGCAGTGGGTCACCCGCTGACGAGCAGGGGTGAACTGGTGGACACCCGCATCCTGGAGGTCAGCACCACTCACCAAGTTCGTCGAGAACGAGGGGTAGGTAGAGACCAGTCAGGGTGCCAGAGGGGGCCGCCGGGACACGGGAGGACAGTGGAGAAGCGGAGACAGGGACAGGCCCCCCAGAGGGGTCAGCCAGGGACACCGCAATCCGGCCGACTCAGCGGCGGTGAGAGTGGTGCGGTCCCTAAAGAAGGAGCGAGACGCTCCAGAGTCAAGGGTGAAGGTGTGAGAGGCCGAAGCTGACACAGTACCTGAGAGGGCAGACTCACCAGTACCTGAGAGCACAGACGCACTGGCACCTAGAGCAGCAGCCTCACTAGTACCTGACGCCGGCAGTACCAATGCCCGGGATCGGGCGGGAAACACCGGTAACAGTCATCCTCATCACTACCAGTCACAGCATACATAGCAGAGAGAATAGCATCAAAATCAAGATCATAAATAGCTACACCAGCCCTAGACAGCTCTCCCCAGCGGGGGATCTCAGCGGCCTCCGGAAACTGCTGACGCCAGGCGTCGGTCAGGCGGCCAAAGCCAGCGGCGGGCTCGTGGTGGGCGCCCTCCACACCTCTCCCCTGCACGGTCACCTGTGCGAAGAACGTAGGGGCAGGGACCAAGCGCACCACCACGCTGACGCTGCAAGTACCACTCACGGAGCTGCTGAGGGCCGGGGGACGGTCTGCGAGAGCGCTGCTGCTGCTGTGGCTGCTGCTGCGGCTGCTGCTGCTGCTAGCTGCTGCTGCTGTGGCGCTGACCACCCCCAGAGATTGCTCCGCTGGGACGAGCCACTCCGACCCCCGCCTCCACCGCCACCCCCGCTCCACCGCCACTCCCGTCTCCACCGCCACCTCCCCCACCAGGACCGTCGCTCCCACCGCTCCCACCGCCTCCTCCGCTACCACCTCCGCCGCCACCTCCGCCTCCACCGCCGCCACCAGTACCTCCACTCCCGCCACCACCCCCACCGCCACCCCACTCCCCCCGCCACCCCCACACGCCTCCTCCACCGCCCCCCTCTAGCTCCACCCGCTCCCTTGCCCCCTTTGCCCTTGCCAGAGCGGCGTCCTGCCGCTGGGGGCAGACGCCGCGCCCGACCGACTCAAAACCAGTGAGGTCGGCCGCAGCGGCAGAGGCGACAGAGGGCAGCAGGGGGAAGGACCACACCCCTCAAAGATGGGGGTGCGAGGGTCACCCCTAGAGGCCCCTACAGCGACTATACTCTTCTCAGCCGCTAGCAGGGACTCCTCAAGGAGATCGACAGTGAGAGGTGGTGGGACAGACAGAGAGAAACTGGTCCCTAACGGCACGAAGGGACTCAGGGAGACGGGTGACGAGAAAGTAGAGAGTGATGTACATGGGAGGAGGGTTCGCAGCGCGGAACTCAGCAGGAAGGGCAGCGCCGGTAGCGGGTGTCACTAGCACGGAGGTGGGTAACGAGGTCAGCAACAGTGGGAAAGGAGGCGAGGTCAGGGAAGAGAAACGGTAGCATAGCATGAGGCGGCTAAGGGGTAGCGGAGGAAGGGGAGGAGTTAGCGTGCAACTACAGCGTCGTACAAGGCCTGAGCGGTCTTGCACTGACTAAAGTGGGCACGCTCAGAGGAAGGGATGGTGGCGACGCACAGCAAGACGTGCAGCAGCATCGCGGGTCGCCCACTTGGATGCGAACGGCAGAGTCAGCATCAGCAGGTGGGGCAGGGACAGCGCCAGAGGACAAAGTCAAAGAGAGAGACCTCATCTATCGCATCACATAGTAAGTACAGCTGCAGGTCCTTCAATTCCAGACGGCAAAGTCAACTGGCCCTCCCCTCAGCGTCAAAAGTAAGGACATGTGGGGGTGGCCATGGCAGCAGCTGAAAGTCTCACCGGGCTGGGAGAGTCGGGTAGTGCAGCAGACAGAGGAACACAGCTCAGGAACAGCGGCCACGGCTCGGCGGCTCGGGTTGCTGGGGCGGCGCGGGGCGGCTCGGACGGCTCGGGCGGCTCGGGCGGCTCGGGCGGCTCGGGCGGCTGGGGCGGCTCGGGCGGCGCGCGCGGCCTCGGGCGGCTCGGGCGGCTCGGGCGGCTCGGGTTGCTGGGGCGGCGCGGGCGGCTCGGGCGGCTCGGGCTGCTGGGCTGTACGGGCGGCTCGTGCGGCGCTGGCTGTCGCGACGGGCGGCTCACTGGCGGATCGCGGGCGGCTGCAACAGGCGGCTCAGGGACGGCGGGCGCGGGCGGCTCAGGGAGCTCACGGGCGGCTGCGAAGGGCGGCTCGCGGGCGTCGGGCGCTTAGGGCGTTGGGGCGACGGCGGGCGGCGCTCAGGCGTTCGGGCGGGCGGCGTAAGGGTGAAAGGGCGGGCGGCGCTCGGGCGCTAGGGCGGGCGGCCGGCCGTCAGGGCGCTCGGGCGAGTGGCGCACGGGCGCTAGGGCGGGCCGGCCGTCAGGGCGCTAGGGCGAGCGGCGCTCGGGCGCTAGGGCGGGCGGCCGTCAGGGCTCTAGGGCGGGCGGCGCTCGGGCGCTAGGGCGGGCAGGCGCTCGGGCGCTAGGGCGGGCGGCGCTCGGCGCTAGGGCGGGCGGCGCTCGGGCGCTAGGGCGGGGTGGCGCTCGGGCGCTAGGGCGGGCGGCGCTCGGGCGCTGGGGCGGGCGGCCGTCAGGGCGCTAGGGCGGGCGGCCGTCAGGGCGCTAGGGCGGTTGGCGCTCGGGCGCTAGGGCGGACGGCCGTCAGGGCGCTAGGGCGGGGCGGCCGTCAGGGCACTAGGGCGGGCGGCCGTCAGGGCACTAGGGGCGGGCGGCCGTAAGAGGAGGGAGCAGCGGGAGCGCGACGGTAGGGGCGACACGCAGGGTCGCTAAAAAAAAAGAACGCGCGCCTCGGGGCGCGCTTCGGTGGGCCCTAGGAACAGTCCCTAGGAGGGGACCTGCTCTGATTCCATGAGAAGAATTGAACGAGAATGGAATGAGTATGAACGAAGTGAGTACAAATAGGAAACCCTAATTGTGTTGTACCCCCTATGGGATACCCCACTATAGCCTACACAAACAAGTAAGCTATATGTTCTGACAATCGGTAGCCTGGAAGAGGCTTAGTGACGAGAGCCTTTGTTCTCTGACGGCTCTCGTACCATGTTGGGCTGAGGATTTCAGCCTTAGGATCTTTGCGGAGAATAGGCTAGTAGGTGCTAGAGTAGCACAGTGGAAGACTTGAGTGAATGTACTTGTGCTGGTATGTGAGAACAAGTAATTGATTAAAGCAAAGAGCATACAGGAATATATAGAAAAGATAGATTACAGGAAGCGGTTATGTTTATCGAGACGCGTAACGCTTCGACTATCGAGGCGGTTACTGTTCACTGAAGCGTTGCCTGCTGTTGCGTAACCTCCAGGCGGTTACGGCTCGCAACTTCCAGTTGCGGTTTGATGTGGTACGCGCCTTTTCGACTTCATACTCCTTTGGTTGTGCTTCAGTATCGGGTGAGGTTCGATACTACAGAAAACACACTAAGTCATGCGTTTATATTCCCAACAGGTGTCATATGTGACGACCAATTGTTCCATTCACCGTATTTATCTACGATTATGGGATGATTGGTTACATTTGGTTGCACTTCTTTTGGAGGCTCTTATGTATCAGTGTCGTCATCTCCACGTCTCTGAGCAATATGTATTTTTTGGTAACATTGATGTGTCAAAACATATTGTTATGTTCATTTCACTCTAGGTTGTGTAGGGTTCTTTCCTTAGAGGGTACAACATTTCAGTATCGGTAGTCTTGTATCCCTCTCCCTTACCTAATCGACATCCTCACCTAGCTACCAGTTCTAACATGGTATTAAGAGCAAAATGCTCCTTAGTGTCAGAACATTATAGCTTATACATTTGTGTAGGCTGTAGTGGGGTAGCCCATAAGGGGTACAACCCAATTAGGGTTAGTACTTGTACCCAACTGTTTCATAGTTCATTCATTCCATTCTCACTTCTCGTCATGGTATCGAGCAGGTTCCCGAGTGGGAATACTGCCTAGGGCCCACCACGAACTTTTTTTTTTCCTTCCTGCCCGGAGCGCGCCTAGCTCCTAACCCGAGTAGCGCCTCGAGCCGCCTTAGTGGCCCCTTTTGGCCGCCTTACTGCCCCTCAAGCCGCCCTCTATGGCCTCGCTTAGGCCCGCTACGGCCCTGCTTAGGCCCCGTCGGCCCCGCTACGGCCCCGCTTAGGCCCCGCTACGGCCCCCGTCGGCCCCGCTACGGCCCCGCTACGGCCCCGTTGGCCCCGCTTAGGCCCCGCTACGGCCCCCGCTACGGCCCCGTCGGCCCCGTCGGCCCCGCTACGGCCCCCGCTTAGGCCTCGTCGGCCCCGCTACGGCCCCGCTTAGGCCCCGCTACGGCCCCGCTACGGCCCCGTCGGCCCCGCTTAGGCCCCGCTACGGCCCCGCTTAGGCCCCGCTACGGCCCCGACGGCCCCGTCGGCCCCGCTTAGGCCCCACTACGGCCCCGCTCTTAAGCCCCGCTGCGGCCCCGCTACGGCCCCACTTCGGCCCCGTCGGCCCCTCTACGGCCCCACTTAGGCCCCACTTCGGCCCTGTCGCCACCGCGGCCCCGCCCACCCTTGCGGCCCGCCGCCACGTGCGACCTCGCCACCACCTGCGACCCCGCCTCCCAGCGCCCGCAACGCCGAGCAGCCGAACCGCCGGCCACCAGAGCCGCCCGACCTCCCGAGCCGCCCCAGCAGCCGAGCCGCCCGACAGCCGAGCCGCCCAGCACCGTGCAGTCGAGCCGCCCAGCAGCCGAGCCGCCCAGCAGCCGAGCCGCCCGACAGCCGAGCCGCCCCGCACCAGCAGCCGAGCCGCCCAGCAGCCGAGCCGCCCTGCAGCCGAGTAGCCCGACAGCCGAGCCGCCGAGCAGCCCGATCGCTCCACCTACCTGGTAAGAGCACAATCTCTGCCACTGCACTGCCCTGCCTCCGGCTGTTATGGCTTCCCCTAGCGTTCTCACCTTTGACGCTGAGGGTCGGGCAGTGGACTTTGAGGTCTGGGTAGATGATCTGCAGCTTTTCCTGCAGTGCGATAGGGCAGACGGCCTCTCCCTGTTTGACCTCACTTCTGGTGCCTCCCCTGCCCCTGCTGCTGATGTTGACGCCACTGTTCGCTCACAGTGGGCCACACGTGACGCTGCTGCTCGCCTTGCTGTGCGCCGCCACTTACCGACCACTGAGCGTGCACACTTTAGCCAGTACAAGAGTGCTCAGACCTTGTACGACGCTGTAGTTGCACGCTACTCTTCCCCTTCCACTGCTGCATTGAGCCGCCTCATGCTACCGTACCTCTTCCCTGACCTTACTGCCTTTCCCACTGTTGCTGACCTCATTACGCACCTCCGCACTAGTGACACTCGCTACCGCGCTGCGCTTCCTGCTGAGTTCTGTGCCAAGAACCCCCCCCCCCATGTACATCACCCTCTACTACATAGTCACCCGTCTCCCTGACTCTCTCCGTGTAGTGAGGGACCACTTCCTCTGTGTTTGCCCCACCACTCTCACCGTTGACCTCCTCGAGAAGGCCCTCCTAGCAATAGAGAAGAGCATACTCGCTGTAGGAGCCTCTTGTGGTGACCCTCGCACCCCCGTCTTTGAGGGGTGTTCCCCCTCCCCCCTCTTGCCCTCTGTTGCCTCTGCTGCTGCGGCCGACCTCGTTGGTTTCGAGTCGGTCGGCGCTGCGTGTGCCCCGAGCGGGAGACGCCGCACCGGCAAGGGCAAAGGGGGCAAGGGCACTGGAGGAGGTGGAGGGGGCGGTGGAGGTGGTGGTGGAGGCGGTGGAGGGAGTGGGGGTGGCGGTGGGAGTGGTGCTGGGGGTGATGGCGGCGGCGGCAGCAGTGGAGGCGGCGGAGGCGGTGGAGGTGGCGGAGGGAGCGGAGGCGGCGGAGGTAGCGGAGGCGGTGGAGGTAGTGGAGGAGGCAGAGGTGGGGAGGCGGCGGAGGCGGCGACGGCGGCGGAGGCGGCGGTGGTGGAGCGAGTCGCGACTCAGCGTCGAGGAGTGGCGCCGGTGGTGGTCAGCGCCAGCAGCAGCAGCGGAGTGGTGTGACCTTGTCCCCTCAGCAGCTTCGTGAGTGGTAGACTCCACGCCAGGGCGGTGGGGGTTTTGGTCCCTGCTCTTATGTTCTCCGTACCGGCGACCGCACTGGTGAGCAGTGCGGGGGTCCGCACTCCACCCAGCGCTGCTTTGGTCGCCTGACGGACGCGTGGCGTTGCCAGTTCCCTAAGGCGTCAGAGATCCCTCGCTGGGGAGATCTGGCTAAGGCCGGGGTTGCTATCTTTGATCTTGACTTTGATGCTATTCTTGCTGCCATGTATGCTTTTGCTGATAGTGTTGAGGTTGCCTGTTACCTGTGTGTACCGCCTGACCCGAGCATTTAGGCTGCTGCGCTAGGTGTTGGTGAGACTGCTGCTCTAGGTGCCAGTGCGTCTGCCGCCCCAGGTGCTGGTGAGTCTGCTCTCTCAGGTACTACGTCGGCTCAGGCCTTCCACACCTTCACCCTGGACTCGGGTGCGTCCCGCTCCTTCTTTCGAGACCGCACCACTCTTACGCCGCTTAGTCGGCCGGTTGCAGTCTCCCTAGCAGACCCCTCTCGGGGTCCTGTCCTTGCTAGCTTCTCCACTGTCCTTCCGTGCCCTGCAGCCCCCTCTGGCACCCTGTCTGGTCTCTACCTCCCCTCGTTCTCTACGAACTTGGTGAGTGGAGCGGACCTACAGGATCGAGGGGTTGACCAGTTCACTCCTGCGAGTCAACGAGTGACCCACTGCAGGTGTGCTCTGACACGCCGACACTTGGCCACGTTCACCCGTCGGCCAGGGTCGAGCCTGTACACCCTTACTGCTGAGTCTCCTCCTACTGCCGAGTCTGCCCAGGTAGCTGCATCGAGTCAGGTGTTTGCTGCGGCGTCCAGGTCTGGTCCTGAGTCTGCCCCCAGCTCGTTTCATCTGCTGTCCCACCAGACTCTCCTTTGGCACCACCGCCTTGGTCACCCCTCCTTGCCTCGTCTCCAAGGCATGGCCTCCCGTGTCTTTGTCTCTGGTCTTCCTCGGTCTCTCCCTCCCCTTCCTCCGGGGCCTGGCCCTACCTGCGTCCCCTGCGTCGAGGGGCGACAACGCGCCGCCCCTCACTCCTCCGAGTTTCCTCCGATAGAGGCTCCGCTGCAGACTCTACACATGGACGTGTGGGGCCCAGCCCGCGTCAGTGGGCAGGGGAGAGAGCGGGTACTTTCTGCTGGTCGTTGATGACTACTCGCGTTACACCACAGTCTTCCCCTTGCGCAACAAGGGTGACGTCACTGAGGTGTTGATCAACTGGATCCGCGCAGCTCGTCTCCAGCTGAGAGAGAGTTTTGGCTCGGACTTTCCTATTTTGCATCTGCACTCGGACAGAGGAGGGGAGTTTTCCTCTGCCTGTCTGGGAGCCTTCTGTCGGGCACAGGGCATCCGCCAGACCTTCACGCTTCCGGCCTCTCCACAGCAAAATGGGATTGCTGAGCGCCGCATTGGCATGGTCATGGACGTCGCGCGTACGCCCATGATGCATACATGTGGCCGTTTGTGGTTCAGTACGCAGCGCATCAGCTCAACCTTCAGCCCCAGGTCTACTTGCTAGAGACCTCCCCCACCTTGCGGTGGACGGGGAAGGTTGGCGATGCATCTGCGTTTCGGGTCTGGGGATCTCAGGCGTTTGTCCGCGACTTGTCTGCGGACAAGCTGTCCCCCCGTGCTGTTCCTTGCGTATTCCTTGGCTTCCCTCCTGACGCGCCTGGGTGGCAGTTTTACCACCCCACCCGCGCCGTATTCTGTCCTCCCAGGACGTCACCTTTGACGAGTTGGTGCCCCTCCCCTCGCCGCCGCTCTTCCTTGCGCCAGGTGCTACTCAGGTAGACCCCCTCCCTCCTCAGGGTCCTGCCCCTTCAGGTGTGTCCCAGGTAGACGCAGTCGAGCCTGTCGAGGTAGCTGTAGACTCTTGTGCTGCTAGAGGTGCTGAGCCTGCGGGTGCCGGGTCTGCGGGTGCCGGGTCTGGGGGTGCTGAGTCTGGGGGTGCTGAGACTGGAGGTGCAGAGCCTGGGGGTGCTGAGTCTGGGGGTGCGGAGCGTGGGGGTGCTGGGTCTGCTCGTGTGGCCGCCGGCGTTACTTTGTCGAGGCGGGAGCCGCTCTCTCCACAGGAGCTGCGCGTGTGGTTGGCCCGCCGCTGGAGACGTGCTGCTGAGTCTAGGGGTGTTGGCGCTGGTGTTTCTACTGGTGCTGGTCCGTCTAGGGGTGCTGCTGAGGCAGCTGGTGCTGACGGTCCTACTGGAGTTGGTGCTGCTGGAACTGGAGCTGCTGGGGGTGTTGGCGCTGGTGTTTCTACTGGTGCTGGTGCGTTTGGGGGTGCTGCTGAGGCAGCTGGTGCTGACGGTCCTACTGGAGTTGGTGCTGCTGGAGCTGGAGCTACTGAGGGTGTTGACGCTGGTGTTTCTACTGGTGCTGGTGCGTCTGGGGGTGCTGCTGAGGCAGCTGGTGCTGACGGTCATACTAGAGTTGGTGCTGCTGGAGCTGGAGCTGCTGGGGGTGTTGGCGCTGGTGTTTCTACTAGTGCTGACGGTCCTACCGGAGCTGGTGCTGCTGGAGCTGGAGCTACTGAGGGTGTTGGCGCTGGCGGTGCTGCTGGCGCTTGTGCTTCTGAGGGTACTGGAGTTGGCGCTGTTAAAACTGGAGGTTCTGCTGGCGCTGGTGCTGCCGCTGGGGGTACTGGTGCCGTACTTGCTGGTTCTAGAGGCGCTGCGCGGCCGAGGCCGTACTTCGTTCCGCTCCTGGAGCAGGTTCTTGGTCTCCCGCCCTCTAATGGTCCTGCTCCTCCCCTAGAGTGTCCACCGCTTGCCAGTCGCGGTCACAGTTACCGCCCGCCTCCCCTCAACCTGCTCCTTCTCCCTACACTGGTCCTACTGGAGGTCTTGGTGAGCGTCGTGAGCCTGCGTCTCGTCCCGCGTCACCTGTTCGTGCTGCTCGCACTAGTGATCGTACTCCGCGTCCGCGTCCTCCTGCGGTCCCCGGCACACACCAGATGGCACTGCGTCCTTCCACTGCTCCTCTGCGTGTCCCGTTGCCGTCTCCTCCAGAGTCCTCTCTTCCTTCTCTTGCTGACCCGGAGTCTGACTCCCATTGTGCTGCTAGTCCTTCGGTCACGCGCCTTCTTGCTACTGTCGTCACTGACCCTTCCTTTGAGTCTGCTGCTGCGTTTGCTCTCGTTGCTAAGCTTGTCGACTTCGCTGCTCGCTGTCGCCTAGACTACGCTGCCAGTCTTGTTGCGGAGTCTGAGTCTGTCTGTCCTCCGTCCGTCGGGGGTGAGTGTGCTCTTAGCACGGACGTCCTTGAGGACAAGCACAAGGAGTTCCAGTGCTTTGCGGCTGCTTTGCCTCATCTCGTGTCCACGCTGATTGCCCCTGAGGGAGACCCGGATGCACCAGACATCCCGACTCCTCGATCGTACGCTGAGGCGATCAAGGGTTCCTACTCCTCTCAGTGGAAGTCGGCCATGGATGCAGAGATGGCTTCCTGGAAGTCCACAGGCACCTACGTTGACGAGGTTCCCCCACCTAGGGCAAAAATCGTCAGTGGGATGTGGATCTTCAAGGTGAAGCGGCCGCCAGGCTCTTCGCCTGTCTTCAAGGCGCGTTACGTGGCTCGAGGCTTCAGTCAGCGGCAGGGAGTTGACTACTTTCAGACCTTCTCTCCCACCCCGAAGATGACCACTCTTCGGGTGCTGCTGCACATAGCCGCTCAGCGCGACTACGAGCTTCACTCTCTTGACTTCAGCACTGCTTTCCTGCAGGGCAGCCTGCACGAGGAGATCTGGCTGCGCCGCCCTCCTGTCTTCACTTGGTCGTTTCCTCCTGGCACCCAGTGGAGCCTCCGGCGGCCAGTCTTCGGTCTCCGCCAGGCGCACCGTGAGTGGCACGACACACTGAGGACTACACTTGCGGCTCTTGGGTTTGCTCCTTCTACAGCCGACCCGTCGCTGTTTCTACGCACCGACACCTCTTTGCCGCCGTTCTACATCCTCGTGTACGTCGACGACCTGGTCTTTGCCACTGCTGACATTGCTGGACTCGCCCACGTGAAGTCCGAGCTGCAGAAGAGACACACGTGCACGGACCTGGGTGAACTGCGCAGCTACCTTGGCTTGCAGATCACCCGGGACAGAGCACGCCGCACCATTACCCTGACTCAGTCACACATGGTGCAGCAGGTCCTTCAGTGCTTCAACTTTACGTACTCCTCACCTCAGCCACTCCTCTGTCCACTCGCCACTCACTCTCAGCTCTGCCTTCAGATGAGTCTGTAGAGCCGAGTGGCCCGTACCCAGAGCTTGTTGGCTGCCTCATGTACCTGATGACCTGCACACGATCTGACCTTGCATACCCTCTTAGTATCTTGGCACGCTATGTTGCTCCTGGGAGACACCGACCAGAGCACATGGCTGCAGAGAAGAGGGTGTTGCGCTACGTGTGCAGTGCGTCGGGCATGGGGCTAGTGCTTGGAGGGCGACGTCAAGTAGTCCTCACAGGTCACCCTGACGCTTCTTGGGCTGACGACCAGGCTACGCAGCGGTCGTCACAGGGTTACACCTTCAGCCTTGGCTCCGGCTCTGTTTCGTGGCGGGCTATTCGCTCGTTCCTGTTCTCGGCTCTAGCTGTGAGGCTGAGATCTACGCAGGGGCCATGGCTGCACAGGAGCTACGCTGGCTCACCTACCTGCTGACTGACCTAGGAGAGCCGCCTCGTTCTCCTCCAGTTCTGTACGTAGACAACAAGGCCATGTTGGCCTTGTGTCGGGAGCACAGACTAGAGCACAGAACGAAGCACATTGCTCTCCGATACTTCTTGTCTCGTGAGCTGCAGCAGCGTGGTCAGCTCCGCCTCACCTACGTGGCCTCTGAGGCCAACAATGCTGATATCTTCACCAAGGCCCTTCCGCCTTGTGATCATCAGCGCTTCTGTACTGTGCTAGGTCTTGTGCCTACCTGGCGTCACTTGCTCACTTCTTGATCTTGTTTGTACTGTCTTCTTTCTATACATGCCCTTGCTTGTTTCACCTTTATATATATGACCTTGCATGTGAACTGGCCTTGTGGCCTTACTCTTGTGCTTGGACTGTGTGGTGACTTTGTGATCCACCCTGAGCTTGCTTTGCTTTGCTTGACTGGTCTTGTGACCACTTGTTCTCCCCCACTTTGCCTATGGGGGTGTGTCAGAACATTATAGCTTATACATTTGTGTAGGCTGTAGTGGGGTAGCCCATAAGGGGTACAACCCAATTAGGGTTAGTACTTGTACCCAAGTGATTCATAGTTCATTCATTCCATTCTCACTTCTCGTCACTTAGGACCGAATTTTTCAACAGGCCCACCACTATTATTTTGATCTGCTGCCCAAGTCACGCCCCTAGGAGAAACACGAAATGCGAAAACGCGCTGTAGGCGAGACGGTTTTTTTCTGCCCTAGGCGTGATTGTTCAGCCTAGTCAAGTGCGACCCCCCTTGACCGCGCCCTAGCTGCCCCGTGTGCCACTCGCACGGCCCATTAGCCCCTACGCCCGGTCCCCCCTCGTTCCTGCTGCTGCGCGCGCCACTCACGTTGCCCGCCAACCCCTAGCATGCACCTGCTGCGGGCCCTTTTTTTTGAGCTGCTCCGTGCTCACTTGTTGCGTGCCCTTGGTTTGCTAGCTCACAGCCCGCACGCGCCTACTGCTACTGTGCACCTGCTGCTTCTGCTACGTGCCGCTGCTGCTCTGCCACTGTGTCCGAGCCGTGCCGCCCAGCCCGAGCTGTCATTGCTAGTGCTACTTCACCTACAGCTGCTACAGCTAATGATACTGCTGGTGCTGCTACTACTGCACTTGCTACAGCTGCTACTGCTCCCACTGCTACTGCAACTACTGCTACTACAGCTAGTGCTACTGCTGTTGCTGCTACTACTGCACTTGCTACAGCTGCTACTGCTGCCACTACTACTGCTGCTATGGCTAACCTGTCAGTTCTTACGTTCGATGCTGAGGGCCGCACTATTACCTTTTATGCCTGGCTCGACGATCTCCAGCTGTTCCTGCAGAGCGAGTCTAAGGATGGTCTTTCCTTGTCTTTACACACTAAGGAAAAGCTCCCAGCCCTTGCTGCCGACGCTGTAGAGGATCTGTCTAAGTGGCTCATGCGTGATGCAGCTGCCCGCCTTGCTGTCTGCAACCACCTGCCCGTCACTGAGCGCGCGCACTTTAGCTGGCAGAAAACGGCCAAGGATCTCTATGACGCTGTAGTTTCTTGCTACTCCTCCCCAGCTACTGCTGCTGTAGGCCGTCTCATGCTGCCGTCTCATGCTTCATCCCAATCTAGTTGAGTTCCGCACTGTCTTTGACCTCTTTACCTACCTCTGCTCTAGTGAGGACCACTTCCGTGCCGCTCTCAAGCCGGCCTTTCTCGCCAAGAACCCCCCCTGCAGTACTTCACCCTGTACTTTCTTATCAGTCGCCTCCCTGACTCCCTTCGCACTGTTAGGAACCAGTTCCTAGCCATGGACCCCACTGAGCTCACACTTGACTCGCTTGAAAAGGCCCTTCTCGAGGTTGAGAAGAGCACTGTCGCTGTCGCTGCCTCTTGTGGCACCCCCCGCTCCCCCTTCTTTGAAGGGTGTACTCCCTCCCCTCTCCTCCCCTCAGTTGCTACCGCTGCTGCAGTCGACCTTCTTGGTGCTGAGGACGTTGGCGCTGCGTCTGCTCCCAATGGAAGGTGCAACAACAGCAAGGGCAGAGGGGGCAGGGGTGGTGGTAGTGGCAGCAGCGGAGGGGGTGGCGGGGGTGGTGGTGGGGGTGGTGGTGGGGGTGGTGGAGGCTCTGGGGGTGGCTCTGTGGGTGGCGGCAGTGGAGGAGGAGGATAGGGTGGAGGAGGCGGCGGTGGTGGGGGAGGCAGTTGGGGTAGCGGGGGAGGCGGAGGAGGTCGGGGTGGGTCTGGCAGGGGTGGTGACGCTCGTGGACCCTCCCGTGGCTACAGGAGTGGTCAGCAGCTGCCGCGCCTCCCGGACAACCCCACCGACCAGCAGCTCCGTGAGTGGGTTCTCCAGCGTGGGGGCTCTGGGGGCTCTGGTCGCTGCCCTTATGTCCGGCGCACGGGGCTTCTGAAGGGCACAATCTGCGGGAAGCCGCACACTGAGTACAAGTGCTTCGGCCGTCTTGAGGATGCCTGGGTGACTGAGAACAGCGAGGACCAGCAGGTGCCGAACTGGCTGTAGCTGATGGGGAAGGGGGTAGATGTGTTTGCTCTTGACTTTGCTAAGATCAATGCTGCTCTCTATGCTATGTATGTTGCTGATTATAGTGTTGAGGGTGCGTGTTACTCGTGTGTGCCATGCGATGCAGGTAGTGATACTGCTCCCTCAGGTGCTAGTGAGTCTGCTGCCGCCCTAGGTGCTAGTGTCGCTACTGCCCCATGTGCTAGTGAGTCTGCTGCTACTGCTGAGGTCTTGCACACTTTCACCCTTGACTCTGGTGCGTCACGTTGCTTCTTTCGCGACTGCACCACTGTCACCCCACTCACTACACCAGTCCCAGTCTCACTGGTGGACTCCTCTGGGGGCCTCGTGGTTGCACGCCACTCCACAGTCCTCCCGTGCCCAACTGTCCCCTCTGGCTCTCTGTCCAGTCTCCACCTCCCCTCGTTCTCGACGAACCTGGTGAGCAACGCCATCCTCCAGGATGTATGGGTTGACACATTTACTCTTGGAGGTCAGCGTGTGGCAATCTGCACATGCGCCAAGACAGGCCGTCACCTGGCTACGTTCACACGGCAGCCGGGGTCGAACCTGTACACACTCACCACAGCGTCTGCACAGCTAGCTGCGTCTGGTCAGGTGGCTGCGTCCGGTCAGCTCGCTGCGTCCTGCTCGTGTCGCCTCCTCCCCCACCCTGCGCAGCTTTGGCACCACTGTCTTGGCCACCTGTCGCAGCTGCATCTGCGCGGTATGCACTCCCGGCTCCTGGTCTTTGGCCTCCCTGCGACCCTGCCACCCCTCCCGCGCTCGCTTGCGCCGCCGTGCCTTCCTTGCGTTGAGGGGCGGCAGCGCGCCGCTCCTCACTCCTCCAAGTTTCCTCCGACCACTGCTCCTCTGCAGACTCTCCACCTGGACGTGTGGGGCCCGGCCCCTGTCGGTGGAACGGACCAGGAGCGCTACTTCCTCCTGGTGGTTGACGACTACACACGCTACACCACAGTCTTCCCCTTGCGGCGCAAGGTGGATATCAGTGGTGTCTTGATCCCCTGGATCCGTGCTACTCGTCACCAGCTGCGCGAGCGGTTTCGGCGGGACTTTCCAGTCCTACGTCTGCACTCTGACAGGGGTGGTGAGTTCTCCTCTGGCGTCCTTGAGACGTTCTGCCAGGATGAGGGCATCGCCCAGTCATTCACGCTTCTGGCCTCTCCGCAACAAAATGGGATTGCTGAGCGTCGCATTGGCCTGATCATGGAGGTCGCTCGTACCTCCATGATCCATGCGGTTGCTCCCCATTTCTTGTGGCCGTTTGCGGTCCAATACGCCGCGCATCAGCTCAACCTCTGGCCCCGTGTCTCTGCTCCAGAGACCTCGCCCACACTTCGTCGGACAGGACAGCCTGGTGATGCGTCGTCGTTTCTGGTCTGGGGCGCGCTCTCCCTTGTTCGCGATACCAAAGCGAGGAAGCTCTCCTCTCGCACTCTCCGCTGTGTCTTCCTGGGCTTCCCCACCAACGCTCCACCGTGGCAGTTATACCACCTTGCCTCGCGTCGTGTTCTGTCCTCTCAGGACGTCACCTTCGACGAGTCGGTCTGTTACTATCGACTTCACCCGCACGCGTCCCACCCGGTCCCCCTCGCACCTCTCTTCCTGGTACCAGTCCCCCCCCGGTAGACCCCCTTCCCCCTCAGGGTCCTGCTCCCTCAGGTGTGTCTCAGGTAGACCCACCCCCCGTGGATGAGCCAGTTGAGATCTCTTCTGACTCCTCTAACTCACCTGAGGGGGGTGACGCCGTCGCCGACGACACGGCGACCACTCGCCGCACTCCTCGCTTGGAGACCCCCCCAGGTTTTCCGCCACGGCCGTCTTCTCTGCCTCCGCAGCCTGCTGCTACGGACACTGAAGCGTAGACTGAGGGTACTGAGCCTGGGGGTGCTCGGACTGAGGGTACCAAGCCTGAGGGTGCTGGGACTGAGGGTACAGAGCCTGATGGTGCTGAGAGTGAGGGTACTGAGCCTGAGAGTGCTGGGACTGAAGGTACTGAGCCTGAGATTGCAGAGACTGAGAGTTCTGACTCTGGGGGTGCTGCGAGTTTGGGTGCTGACTCTGGGGGTGCTGCGAGTCCTTTTGGTGTTGGTGTCGTCGGAGCTCCTACCGGAGGACTTGGAGCTACTGGTGCTGGAGGTACTGGAGGTGCTACTGGTGCTGGAGGTCGTGGAGGTGTCGGTGCTGAAGGTGCTGGAGTTGCTAGGGGTACTGGAGCTGCTGGTGCTGCTGGTGCAGGAGGTGCTAGAGGTCCTGGAGGTGCTGCTGGTGCTGGAGGCCGTGGAGCTGTTGGTGCTGGAGGTGCTGAAGGTGCTGCTGGTACTGGAGGTGCTAGGGGTACTGGAGCTGCTGGTGCTTCTGGTGCTGGAGGTGCTGGAGGTGCTGGAGATCCTGGTGGAGCTACTAGTGCCCTTCGCCACCTTCTCAGTCTTCAGCCAGGTGCTACTGGTTTCCTTGTGGCAGGTACTACTCTTCCGTTGCTGTGTCCAGCGGCGGACCAGTCACAGCCGCCACTGCTACCACACTCCCCACTGCCTGCTCCTTACACTGCGGTGTCGGAGTCCCTGACTGAGCGTCGAGAGCCTGAGACTCGTGCTTCCACCCCTGAGCGTCGAGAGCCTGAGTCTAGCTTTAACCTTGAGCCTGTGCCTAGAGCTGCTGTACGTGCTCGTGTTCCTCGTGTTCGTCGTCCGCGTGCTCTGGCTGTCCCCGGCACTCACGATATGACACTCTGTCCTTCCTCTGTTCCTCAGCGTGTTGTCCTACCGTTACCTCCTGCGTCCTCGTTGCCTGACGTTGCTGACCCCCCGTCTGACCTTGCTCGTGCGTCCAGTCCGACTGTTACTTGCCTTCTTGTTACGGTTGTGCGGACCCTACGTTCTCATCTCCTGCTGCGTCCGCCCTAGTAGCTAAGCTCGTTGACTTTCCTGCTTTGTACCGCCTAGACTACCTTGCGAGTCTAGTCTCTGACCCTGTCCCTGCCTGTCCTCCGTCCGTCGGGGGCGAGACTGCTCTTGGCTGTACTGCCCTTGGCTATGACGTTCTTGAGGACGGACAAGAGGAGTTGGAGTGCCTTGCTGCCGCTTCACCCTATCACGCGACCATGCTGCTTGCCCCTGAGGGAGACCCAAATGCACTTGACATCCCCACCCCGCGCTCCTACACGGAGGCGATTTTGGGTGAGTACTCCTCTTAGTGGCTTCCTGAAAGTCCACAAGCACCTACGTCAACGAGGTTCCCCCACTTGGGGCGAACATCGTCAGTAACATGTGGATTTTCAGAGAGAAGCGACCGCCGGGTTCTCCGCGTGCCTTCAAGGCACGTTATGTTGCTCGAGGCTTCAGTCAGCGTGAGGGGGTCGACTTCTTTCAGACCTTCTCCCCCACCCCGAAGATGACCACTCTTTGGGTGTTGCTACACGTTGCAGCTCAGCATGACTACGAGCTGCACTCCCTCGACTTCTCGTCAGCTTTCTTACAGGGTAGCCTTCACGAGGCCATCTGGTTGCGCCGTCTACAGGGCTTGACTGGGTCGTTTCCTGAGGGTACCCAATAGAGCCTACGGACGACCAGTGTACGGCCTGCGTCAGGCGCCCCGCGAGTGGCACGACACACAGAGGACGACACTTGCGGCTCTTGGGCTTGCTCCTTCGTTTGCTGACCCGTTGCTATTTCTACGCACCGACACTTCTCTGCCGCCGCTCTACATCCTCGTGTACGTTGACGACTTGGTTTTTGCTACTACTGACACTAAGGCACTGGCCCTAGTGAAGGCGGAGCTGCAGGAGAGACACACCTTCTGAGAGTACGACGGCTTATGCTGGCTTTGCTAGCTTGCCTAAACTTTATTATGCTATATATTGTTGGGTGCAAATTCACATTGCACGACATCCTGCCGTCTGTTTGTACGAGTATGCGTGTGCGAATGCATTTGCGTGTGAATGGTATGTTTGTGTGTTTGTTTGCTTTCGCAATTTTCGCTTGAAGCATTTGCAGGTACTCGCAAAATGTGCGCTTCGGCATAACATTGTACGCGCTATGAACAGTACAAGCAGAAAGGACGAGCTCGCAAAGGAACCCAAGATGGAAGCTTTGCGGTTCGGCTTACTTGATTGCGCAGATTCAGTTCTATCCAACTCGAAATTGTACTGTTTTGTTTGGTTGACTATAGTGTAGCAGGGCAGGCACTATAGGGGTACAATTTAGGTGAAGGTTGGATGTTGTTTGTCTGTATCTGCATGCTACAGGGCCAGGGGAAACCAGCGGAACCAGCATTTGGCTGGTTGGGCAAAGACAAAACAGGTTCTGTTTTTAGGACCTGAACCTGGTTGTTGTTTTCCCAGGTTGGAAAAACAGAACCAGAGGTTGTTCACCAACCTATCACCTGCTATTTTGTTCAGCCAGGTTGGTTCTGTTGCTTGGAATTATTTGGGATCATCCCTGGTTGTTCCCAGGTTGATTCCCAAGGTCCTTGCTAGCTAGAGCTATTTATTCCTTCTCTGTTTGTACCTGAAAATAGTGAAATTGATTCAAGCGAATTCCTTCCTTGCTGGAATTTCTTTTCTACGCGGTGCGACGGCGGAATGCTACCCGAGTCAACGCTAGTACGCTAGCACTCCAACGCTAGGCTAACGCTGTCCGAGCCATAACTTCGTAATGGCAGAACTTTTCGCGAGGCAACTTGGCTTATTTTAAAGCTCTTAGAGTGAGCTTCGATATAGGAAATTCTCAGCTTAATCCGATCGACGGTCTGCACGATACGCTGCGCGACGTTCAAGGTACTCTTGCTGTTTTGACTAAGTCCCTCTTGATCCCTCTCTCTACAAACTCGGACCCGAGGATAGGGGCTGGTCTTGTACCAGGCACCCAAGGACCCTTGGAGGTGACCCCGAGGAGAGGTTTTAAGTGTGATAAAGTCTTAATAGCTTGAGTTTATTAGGCCCTTACACCAACAAGCTGGTATCAGAGCTGCGTTATAGTGATCCTCGATATAGGTAGCTATGGCGGGCAACACCTCGGCGGTAGCTGGTGAAACTTCAGCCCAAGATCGTAGCGGCAGCCATGATTCTGGTGTTTCTGCGCCAAGGGGAGCGCGAACAAGCCAGGGCTCGCTGATCAAGGAGGTGCTGAAAAACTTCACCGTCGAGAAGTTCAA